TCTGTCTGTGTGTGCGCGGGTGTCTGTCTGTCCGTCTGTCTGTGTCTGCTCTATACGCCGGAGCTCGCGCTTCCTCTCCGCTCCCGCAACATCTTAGCTCATAGTATCGTACTATTGAAGTGCAATCTCGTTCAAAATTGGAGTCAAGTTTCTTGGAAGCTGACTACGCTAGCTGGTCAAGAAGACTTGCAAAATCCAAAATTAACCCCTAAGCTGATCGGTTACTGTGGCGTTCTTACCCATAGGTTGCCGTGCTCCTCGTTGTCCACGCTGTGCAAATGCACATACACCCAAGAACACGCATGCACATGCACACACACATGCATGCATACAGACAGACAGATAGACACACAGACAGACAGACAGACACACACACACACACAGACAGACAGACAGACAGACACACACATATACCAGTGATACACACACACACACACACACACACACACACACACACACACACACACACACACACACACACACACACACACACACACACACACACACACACACACACACACACACACACACACACACACACACACACACACACACACACACACACACACACACAAACACACACACAAACACACACTGGATGTGTATATGCACACAGGAGGTTATGTCACTGCCACACTACCGAGTACAGTAATGTATCACCCCCCCCCCCCTTCCCCCCCCCCCATCACCCCCCCCCCCCGCACCCCCCCCCCCCATCACCCCCCCCCGCACCCCCCCCCCCCCTGCACCCCCCCCCCCCCCCGCACCCCCCCCCCCCCGCACCCCCCTTCCCTTCCCCTTTCCCCTCCCCCCCCAATACACACTCACACTTACTATGTAAATCCTCACATGTACATACAGTCCGCATTGTGCACATAGTACGCCGATAATACCCTCTCTCGCGACTACGAGCTTAAGCGAAGTGGGAGAACAAATGCACAAGAGTATCTATCACAATACCTGCCCGCCATCCAAGAAGCATGCCGTTGCAGTACATGCTCGTGCTGGTCACCCTATAGCTACTTGCGCTTTGAAGAGCGTGTTGCCAAAGAATGATCGGAGCAGAATGGAAAAATATCAGTAGGTATGGCAGGCTGAAGCTGCACCAGGCCGTAAAAGCGTCCAGGGAAACAGGAAGGACGACTGTACCAGTGAATCATGAGCGGTTCGAGCCCGGCCTAGCTGCATGTCACAGTCGAACGTGGGGAAGGCTCGATTTAATAATCCGGTTAGATTTATACACGCACATGGCATCGTTTTTCTGGGCCACTTTGCCCCTCCTCCCCCCCCCCCCGTGAGATATCCCCAGAAATACTGTGTCCTCATCTCCCCCACCAATCTTCCTCGGCCTTCATCTTCCCCTGTCTTGATTTCCACCACAACTTATCTCCCCCCCCCCCCCCCCCAGGCCCTCATCTTCCCCATCACTAAATCTCTCTGGCCCTTATTATGTCACCACAACATCATTACTAGAGTCACCGCCGACGCGCGCATGGAACAACACCGTGTGTGCTGCTTACCAAGTTAGAGTTACTAGGCGCCTGTCGCAGCTCTCTCATATTGACATGTGCCGATGCTTCCGTCAGCGCCAGCTCTCTACAACAAAACGCAAAGGGAAAAAGAAGAAATTCCTCGTTACTTTTGAGTCTTTAGAATGTATGTCAGGCCAGCCGGAATCAGTCCGGTTGGTCAGGCCATCACCGGACCACCTAATAACTTTACTTGTTAGCCACCCACGCCTGTTTATCGCCGAGGAGGTTAAGTGCACCCGCTATACCACACACAATGAGTGAAGGACTATGGTATGGCCAGACCAATCAAAAACTGTTGCCGGCGGCCCTTTACAGTCAGACCTCGCTTATCCGGTCCTCTTTTATCCGGATCCCTCACCATCCGGAAGAAAATCGTTTGTCACCGATATACAGCATATGCAATGCAAGCATACAGTATGTGTGTTTGATAATTCGGTTCCCTCGCCTATCCGGATATTAATTGTGGAAAACGGATGTGTGCGGCTATGCGAGGTCTGACTGTATATGTTTTGCAGAAAGGATGCCATCGATTGAGGGCTTTAGGGTTTCTCGGCTCCAGTCAAATATGAATGGGTTCCGGCAGTCACACCATAAGGGGAGAGAATGCGGGCGATTGGAAAGTGAAGCAATATGGGGGTTGCTCCTGATCTACCCATTCTTTCAGTCTTCCCTCAAAGTACAACTATAGAATAGTATAGATTGACCCTAGTTCGTTACTCAGCACATCCCGTGCACTCGTACACGTACAAGTACATTAGTGGCAAGCTTGCGTACCCCCTTCTCTTTCTACCTCCCTCTTTCCTCTCTCACTCTCTCTTTCTCCCTCCCTCCCTCCCTCCCTCCCTCCCTCCCTCCCTCCCTCCCTCCCTCCCTCCCTCCCTCCCTCCCTCCCTCCCTCCCTCTCTCTCTCTCTCTCTCTCTCTCTCTCTCTCTCTCTCTCTCTCTCTCTCTCCTTCTCTCCTGACTACAGGTACTGTAGCGGACACCGAAATCCGTTCGGAGGTTAAGCAGCCACGGGGTGGTGGCCTTGCAGCCGCGAGCACTGTTGGTCCATTTTTTACCGTGTTCACGTGAACTACAGTGCATGTACGTGCTAAAAGCAGTAAGTAACGGCGCCGGGCCCGGTCATCCCGTCGGATTACGATGGCTCCGATAGTACTATCGATGCACGGGCAGTGCAAGATACAGAATACTAGGCACTAGTACGGCATTCACCCCTGCATCGCCTGCACCACGCCATACCTGCACCACGCCATACCTGCACCACGCCATACCTGCACCACGCCATCGCCTGCACCACGCCATACCTGCACCACGCCATACCTGCACCACGCCATACCTGCACCACGCCATACCTGCGACTGCGGTAGAAGTACACCACAAACAGCACACCGGCCGCAATGATCAACACGCCGACCGCTCCACCAATGATGCCACCAGTGGCCGCTCCAGAGAGGCCGCTGGTGCCATCGCCCGCCGCACTTGTCACCACTGGATTACCACCTGAAGCCGGCTGTCCCGCACTGGATTGTGTGGACGGCACTGGTGAAACACCAGTTGCATCTGAAATGAACGAACACAGCAGCGTGATACTGGTACAGTGAGACTTCAGCATCAAGTACCCTGGATATTACTACAGTCAAACCTGTGACTAACCACCACCCCTTAGTTGGGGCCCAGAGAAAGCGGTCTTTAGTGGCAGGTGGTCATTAGTTAGAGGTTTGCACCGCACAACCATAAGTATGAATGTGAGACCGTCCGCGCATGACGAAGTGGTCTGTAGTACCAGGCTGGTCGCTAGTCACGGTGGTCTGCAGTAGGTTTTACTGTACTGCACAATATTCATACAGCAATGACACAACCCAGTCCTGTTCTGCCGTACTCGAGAGTTTCGTGTTAAGAAACACTCATCAGCCAGCATGATAACTGTGTTTGCTTGTACAGTACATATTTCCTCCTTGCATTTGGATATCAGGTGTTTCTTCAAGCCACAGCATATCCTTTTCTAGTCATTCGACCTCGAATGTACAGTGCTAGAAAGTACAGATTATGCGGCCCCTTGGAGGTAAGCTATACCGAATTTCAAGTTACCTGCATGCTCCTTAAAGATTAAAAAGAGATAAAAAACAACATCAACCCCTTCTCTTCTTGCCGCGTGAGAATACTGCCTGCCACAAGGCAATAAAAAAAAAATCTTTGAGCAGTTGAGCTCACTTTTTTTTTCATTATGTCGGTTTGCAGTATTGACATTGGCTCCCCCCCCCCCCCCCCCGCTACACCACGTGCTAGGTTGGCGGAACGTCGACGACCTACCGGCAGTGCAGACAAGTCCGTAGAAAGTCTTTGGTCCCGTGTAGATGCGGCTCTCTGCCTTGCCTAGCGGGCAACTGGCGCTACATACACCACTGGGAATGTGTACATAGTTAGCGGTCCCGTCACACCTGAACAACAGAGACAGGTAAGTGCAGAGGAGCATGCTTGATGCAGTGAATGGGAACTAGGGAAGTGTGAATGATACGGACATCAATACCGTAAAGTGCTGCCGCAAGAGTGTCTCTTGATTGAACCTTAGTGTACTAAGGACACAGAGAGAAACTTCAAAGAGAGAGAGAGAGAGAGAGAGAGAGAGAGAGAGAGAGAGAGAGAGAGAGAGAGAGAGAGAGAGAGAGAGAGAGAGAGAGAGAGAGAGAGAGAGAGAGAGAGAGAGAGAGAGAGAGAGAGAGAGAGAGAGAGAGAGAGAGAGAGAGAGAGAGAGAGAGAGAGAGAGAGAGAGAGAGAGAGAGAGAGAGAAGGAGTGAGAAAAAGAGAGAGAACATTTGTGTATGTGGTGGAGTGTGTGTCAGCACACCAGCGTAACTCTGACCTATAGCATATTCCTGTAGTACCATCACAGTCTCCAGCACGACACCCTGGTGAGCACTGGATAGAGGAAACACTACTGCTGGTCGGCGGTGTGGATGCTGTTACACATAAACACACAGATGTACAGTACAGTACAGACACAATGTATCATGTACACGTATATGCAGGCACACATCCGACCGGAGAAATGCTGCAGTACTGAATGTCGCTAAAGTGCTCGCAACAAACACACACACACACACACACACACACACACACACACACACACACACACACAAATGTGTGCATTCACACACACAAATTAATGTGTGCCTTCACACACACACATGATTGTGTGCATTCACACACAAACAAACACACACACGCACGTATGCGCACACACGCGCGCACACACACACACACACACACACACACGTACACATGTCGAATTGCCCAATGATTCCTTACCTGCCCTTGCACAGCTCCTACTGCTGATTAGTAATACCGCACAGTATAAGGCGAGCAGCAGTCCAAGCCGATCCAGCCAACTCCACATATTGACAGAACCATCAACAGCCTAGTAGTATTACTGAACACAATCAGTCCGTGATACCAAGAGTTGCTTCCCAGCGTGAATGCTGTGGAGGACTGTCGAGATGAAGAAATCTGAGGCCTAGGCTATTGCTCGGGGCTCTTGCCCTTGAATCAATCAATCATACAGGATTTTATCAGTGCGCAGACTGACTAATAAGTGTAGTCTGGGGACTATCGTGATGAAACTGGGGAGAATAATGTAACAAGGCTGTAGGGATGGCAGAGGGTGAAGATGGGTGAGAACACGATTCGCTGCATACGTGGGTGTCGTCGGGTTCGTAACGCAAAATTTACCGTTCACTAGAACAATCACTGAATTATGCAAGCAGCTCTCTCCCTCTCTCTTGCACTATTCCCAATCTACCATGTACCAAGAGTTCCCGACCGCTAAGCTGGTGCAAATGCAAACTGAGAGCAGAATATTGACGCTACAACACTTGCCAGGGTGATCTAACGAACGAGCTGATGCGCTTACTCCACCGTGTGTCCACCCACCAATGGCAGTGAGAATACTCCTGCAAAATGAAATCCACAGACTCACTCACTCATAGCCCAACCATCCAATGACTAAGGAGGTGACAAGCCCACGACCTGGGCTAATGTCGTAATGAAATTACTCGTCACGGCCACTGGCTGAGTCAGACATTCGGAGTCGGTATGCCTGCCCCAGTGCCCAGCCTGATATCATGGATATTGCCTTGGACTTGGAGTGACATGGGAATGTGGGGTGGATCTACATGACCACGGACCGGTCGACACCACCCGTACCCGTAATCAGGCCGTAGCGTCGTAGACCTACCCGCAGTGTGTGGTCTCGACTGCAGTAGTGGAGAGCCGTGGAGCCTGGAGGGCGTAAAGTCTTGCAGACAAGGAGTCAACCGGTAAAAGACATCGTATCGCCAATGATTATGTGCATCAGTTCATCAATAATCATTGCTGTCGTGTGAGTTGGAGAGGTGACTCACACTCCGGAGGCGAAGGCCTGTTTAGCTGCGAATCCTATCGTCTCGATCATCAGGCAGAGGATTTACTACTGAAGGTTTTGCGAGCGGGCCTAGCTAGGTCTTGACTCGGGGTCTTGAGACTTGATGTTCTTGGCTGGTGTGGAAGTTTGTTGTGTATGCGTGGTGGCACTGGGACAGTGTCAGTGGGCCAGAAGACAGTGTGTAGCGCAAGAAGCACAGCATGCAGCGACCGAGAAAGTTATTTCACCTTCATGTAAATCTCAGCGCTATTGAGTACATTATGTATTGGGTCCGTGAAGGCCAGGGAAATACCGTGCCAGCGCCAGCAGTAGAGTCGACAGCAGGGCCGAGGCCAGAAGTGGGAAAGGCTCAGCCTGAGAGAGAAAGCACCATAACCAGATAACGCCAAATTATTTGGTAGATCTAGTGATGCCAGAGGGAAGAGCTTGAGAGTCATTCATTCACCACGCTGACAGCTACAAGCCTACAGGACGCCTGGACTCGTATCGCTCGCACCCGCACCGCTGTTTTGTGTGTACGTGTGTGTGTGTGTGACCGTGAGCAGAAAGCGCCAGCGAAAACGCCAGCGAAAACGTGTTTCAGCTTGTTTTTGGTTGCTTTTGACATAATCATTGCATGCACAAGACCTCTCTTATTACTACCGGTAGTTTAGTTGCAGCATTTGAGCTTTTTGCGATTTCACATCATTTCAGCAACTAGGTAAATTGAATTATTTCACTCGAGGTTCGCCACTTCAGCCATTGGCACTGACTGGTACATGTATGTAGATGGTTATTCCTACATGGAACACACAGTGACACACTTCCTGCTGAACTAGAAACTAACACTACGACTCATCGTTTTGTCTTGACTTCATAAGCCGCGGATTCATTCCCTCCCCCTACCCCGGCATGAGCATGAGCGACTCTGACTCACCGGGGGGGGGGGGGGCACGCTGCTGTCTGGGGCCTCACGGAGTGTTTATCAGTCTGGAAACCACAGAAATGGACCGTCTCTGTAAGTAAGTTAGTTTGTATCCCTGGTGACGATTTGGCCTGGAAAGCACACTACAAATACAATGATGAGCCGGTACATCACGTAGTATACAGTACATGTGATGAACTGATGAGGGGTGAATACCCGGAAACACAGACCTGTGTACATACAGGGAGTGGTGCTTTCTTACTTACACTACAGGTTTGCCGAGTGTGTGTCAAAGCCTCTTATACGGGCAATCACAGAATAATCATGATATCACTGACTGACACTTGAAAATCTGCACACAATGACAACTCCATTCATGATAGTCTCTGTTGGATCTGTCTGTATCCGTTACCCTTGTTAGCTAGTTGCCAACAAGCCGAGCTTCGGAAACAGGAACATCAGACATGTGCAATCATGCTACATATGTGGATAGATCACAGTCAGCCTGCCGAATGCCCATAACCTTGTATTAACGGGAATTTATCAACAGATGGTGAGATAGTTTGAAGAGCTAGGTGACTATAGAAGACGGCCTGGTTGTCTAGCTACATGTGCATGAAACAGAGGTACCACAGTAGACGAAGGATAGGTGGCGGGCACCTGCTAAATGCTGGGGATACAGTCATACCATTTCTTTTTTAAACAAGATGCTCTGGCAAAAGATAGACGAAGGAACGTCCAACGTGATTTTTAGAGTACATGTGCAAGGAGCAGTTTGTGCCGATGACATGTCAGTACGGTCGCCATAACAGATAGCTGGGTTACCATGGTTACCAATGCTGCACGTCGATGTTTGCCTTCAACGAGGATCTATAGGAATTGCGGCTAAACAGACGGCGAGTGGCGTCCGTAAGAAACTGCTCGCGAACCTTGGCGGAGATTACGAGCTGCCGAAGGGAGCTATGTGTGTTGACGGCATGCAGAAAGGCAGTGACGTCATCGTCGGCGAGCCACTCTTGCTGCAGCGGCTCTTCCACATCAGTGATGACCAGCTCGCGCAGTTGGGGCCAGGCAGTGTGCAGGTTCTCTGCCAGGCCCGCTACAAAATGAGGAGGTCCCGACTGAAAAAGAACAAGCGTCGACAGACGAGATGATCCGTGCAGTGCCATGCAAATCATGTGCATGGCCTCTCCACAAATTCCTCTGCAGCCATTGAGATCGAATACTTCGAGGCAGCGAACATCGGCAAGTGCATCAGCCAGCATCAGTGCGGGCGAGCAAGTGGCATTGGTCGTTCTTGCTACTCCATTGAACGCAGTAAGTGGTGGCTGAATGCTGGCTGGTTGTGATGGCGTGCTGCTATCGGTAGGATTGGTGAAGTCACAATTGATCACAATTATCTCCTTCATGTGCGCGCATGACGATTTGAGAACGGCGGCGATCTCCTCCCACTGCCAGGTACACTGAGAGATCATGAGCTCGGTGATATTGCTACACTTTAGCAGTGACACCGGAAACGACACCGGTTTGTCCGGCATCAGGTAGCGGATGAACACCTTGCACAGACTGGCGTAGTGGACATCAATCGCCACATCGTAGGCACGGACGACGGAAGGGTGATTGTTTCCGTCGACCTGTACCTGCATGCACTGAAACGCGGACGCCAGGCTAGACATAAACGGATGACGATCGCTGCCATGGTGATGGCAATGTTCGGCATAGCAGAGCGTGACGAGATCCAAGTTACACTCCTGGCCTTCGCTGATTTCGTTGTGAAAGCGGCGGCACTTCTGTGCCATCGGCTCATCAGGCATATCAGCGATTAGAGACTGTGCAAGTACATCTTTGCCCATGTCGTGGAGGGCAGTGGCCAGTGTAGCAGGCGTTGCGTCCGGGCCGCAGAGTTCCGCCCAGGTCAGCAGCACCTCTTTCAGGAACTCTTCCCGGCTGGAGTTCCGGCCGTTCTTGCAGCGTCTCTCTACCAGGCGCTCCCCGCTGCGGCCGTTCAGCCGTGCACTGAGCAGCTCCTCGGCTAGGCGGCGACTATCCAGGTCCAACAGCCACGCACTGAGCGATTCAAGCATGTTCAGGGGGAAGGCTTGTGAACATTCATCAAAGCTATCATCCCACTCGGCATCATCCGAGCCAGCCCAGTCTTGTTCTGGTTCCATAACCGACTTCTTCCTGGTCAAAAAACCGTTGAGTAAGCAGTCGGCTTTCTCTGCATCCAACTGGGCAGTGCACAGCATCCAGAAAGTGCGCAAGTGCCGGCTGGTGGGGCCAAGTGATTCAACCAGGCGACCAACGCGGGCCAGCGTGGTGACCTTCCGCACTGCTATGTAGCGAGCAGCCAGTGATTCTTGTAGAGTTAGGTGGCTGAACATCCAGAATCTGCCACTGTCCCGACTGGTGCTGTCGGCCAGTACGAGTAGGCCCAGTGATTTTGCTTCTCTGGCAATGGAATGTGCCTTTAGCTCAGCATCAGTGAATATCAGCTGCTGCTTGTTCAGCATGGCGAATGCAAGCTTTCCAAGATCCAGGATTAGATCTTGGATGTCGGTGGCAATCTCATTCCAGCTCTTGTATGACTCACCAGTATGACGCTCTGCTACTTGGATGACCATCATGTCGAAGATATCCGACAGACAGCGAGGTAGCATGCCACACCGACAGTGGAAGAGTTTGCACGTCTGCATGGCCAGGAATGGCGTGGCCATCATGCTGGCAAGGCTCTGGTCGCCTCGTACTGCCGTTACCAGTGCAGATGCCTCTTCTGGTGATCTGAGTACCTTGCCGATGTACTCCTCTACATCCTCCTGCCGGAAACCGACAAGTTCCACACGGCGATCAAACTGCTTTTGGTCGCACAGACTCAGCAGCTCTGCGCACGGCCGTGACGTCACCACCAGACGAAGTCCCCTCACTTTTGACCCGTTGATGACGTCGCGAACAAAGCCACTACAGTCACCAAGGCGAATCTCATCAAGACCATCCAGTACCAAGCAAACTCGGTGCGCTTGCTGGCGTACAAAATCATCGATGCTCTTGCGTTCGTCGCTCGTGAACTCTCCTTGCTCTTCAACACCAAGTAAAGAGCATATACTGGTGGCTTTCCGTACTTCTTCGTTGCGCAGCTTTCGTGCAACCACCAGATCAAAAGGCATCCACATTTCATTCCGTGCCCATTTCAACGGAGCCACTTTGGTCAAGGCGAATGTTTTACCACAGCCTGCACTAGCCACTGCCAAGATGCGGTAGGTTCGGCCACCGCTGGAAAACTCCAGCATCTGCTCATCACTGAGATGGAAAAGATTTTCTAGCGAGATATTCTCTAGGCTGCTGGCCGCCTTTGAGAAAACGTGCTCTACACGCCACATGTCGCCTGTTGAATCAAAACTGGCGTTCCTGAACTCTTCTTGGAGCTCAGGTCTGGACAAAATCATGAGTCGAACGTGCACATCCGAAACACTGGGCTCCCTCAACCCCTCGTCCACCATACCTTCTCCCATGTCTATGGTTGCGCTTAGATAATCCTGAACAAACAAGCCTCTCAACCTGCGCACAGCCTCGGGTAGGTTGCTTACGTGGGCAGCGTGGCCAGCGTGACCGGTGCCTGATCCGGGCGCGGGACTAGCGTCAGCGTGGCCAGACTCGCTCGCCGCTCTGCTTTCACCGCCATCACTAACCCGGCAATACGTCGAAGTTTCAAAGTCATTACATATTTGACCGGTGTTCTCTTTGCACGCCATGACACCGGAAATACCTACAAGAACAGCAGCAACTACTAACCTAATACATTGGAGTAACATACATATACTTCAAGTACTTGAAGTAAAGGCAACTTCGCAAGGCTCGTAAGAACGTTTGTTGGTCTGTTTACTACAATGTAGATCTAAGTGAGACAAACTATTTCTAATCTTAGTTCTGGCCGTAATGAGCGGCCTGAACGGAGTGAACATCATCATACACATGTAGCAGTAGTCGATTCAACCACCTGAGCCTGGTAGATCTACCTGACATGTCCATTGTTCGTTACCTGTCGTCACCAACACCGTGAACACGGGAAAGCTACAATGTAGAGTCCACCCAACTCGTCCCAAGATCAGACCGCAGTTGTGAACTCTTGACCCCAGTGCCGTGGTATGTGCTGCGTGTACGTTGTTGGTAAGTCAGTCACAAGGAGACTGCGAGAGAGCATCATCCGAGCTAACAACGCGTGACATGGCTAGCCCTTAGCTTTCCCAAAGATGCCAACATTTTTCGCAACCGAAACGAGTGAAATGAAGTCCAACATGGCACAAACACTTCCTGCTGAACTTGACACTTGACTGACTCATGACTGCCATCCGGAGCACACGAGGAGCCCACGGCACCTTCCACTCGGCAAACCGGTGATTTGAGGCGGACGGTTTGAACATCTGCTTTTTGATGTAAGAAGCCGAGAAGAGACGCCACTATGAGTAACGCCATTATGAGGGACGAGCGCGGGAGGTGTAGCGTTTGAACGGTTTCACTCCGTTCTGTCGTATTCTTGCAACAACTGGCGGTATGGGCAGTGCTGTTACTGCCTTCTATCGACGGCTGGCTGGCATCATGGAGGAGCGAGGTTGTTCATTTGTTGGGTTTGCACACCCATAACTCGCTAATCCCGAGCCGTCTGGCCTTTGCTCTCCTGCATGCCAACATCATGTCTGCGGGGAGGGGGCGCTCACCATTTCCTTGGCATAGGGGGTTGGATGACGCATCTCCAGAATCTGTGTACACCCTTCCCGCGCAGAGCTTGCTGTAGTCGTCAGTCAGTCACCCCGTGACGTGAGCGCCGCTGATGAGACCTACATAATGCCTGCCTGAGTAGCAACATCCGATAGCGTAGGGTGGAGCTGACACGATTGGTATGCCATGCAAGGTCGAAACAGCTAGCTGTCCTGAGATTGAGTGCATAATGTACACCTATAGAGCTAGCTAGCTAAACAAGCAAGTCTACTTTCCAATTCTCCAATCATGTCAGCTCCACCCTACGCTATCGGATGTTGCTACTCAGGCAGGCACTATGTTTTCTGTTTTCAGTGCTCGTGACCAACCCAATTACCCCCCCCCCCCACACATACATTAGAGCAGGGAGTAGTAAAAGTAAAAGTAAATTATCGTATCCGTTCCCGAAGGGAACTCACGAGGAGTAGTACAATACCATTATACTACTCCCTGCACTCAAGCGCTCACCCCCCCCCCCCCCCATGCACACACACACACACACAAACACACACACACACCACTAGCGGTCCACCACGCATTACCACCTCCAAACAAAGCCAGCAGGCTCACCTCTGCAGCCAGATCACGGCCGATACAACACAGCAAGAACGATGAGAACACACCGCAAGAGACTGAGCACTGAGTAAAATGCACTGGTCCCGTGGAGATATCGGGTGAAGACGTCTCTACTCGGAATCAGAGATGATTGTTAGCTTAATTGAAAAGTAAGGTGCCATGATTGATGGCAGCTCTCAGTAGAACCATGTTGCTGAGACAGAGGATAAGAAACAACTATAGAGCATCCGAAACACCATGGTTACACTACCCAAGAAGAGCACACAAATGCACGGCAGTGGTTCGATCTCGTAATTGCGAAAGAAAAGCAAGGCCAGGCCGGGATTGTCCAGTTGTGGCTGAATAATAGAGAATGCTATCATAGAAGGTAGGTGAACATGAAGAATTCTTTTCTGGGATTGCTGCGTACGTGTGTGAGGAAACAAGGCGTTCATGCCACCTTGGCCTTGGCTGAACTAGCAGTCGCTGGTGGCAATGCTTGAGGTGTTGAAGATGAAGCATGGTGCGGCTGCCGCGGCTTCGTGCCAGCACCTGCCTTTCCACAGCCACCAACATTGCCGTCGCCGCCACTACCCACTGGATCAGCATCAGCAGCGGTGGTGATGGTGGTGTTACCAAGGCTGAAGCCTCGTCGCTCGTCCATACGCCGGCGCATCAGCCGCCGTTCTGCCGCGTACGGCGCCTTCTCAAACATGTCGGCAATGACCGGGTGGTCGTCAAGGCGACGGTCAATGGCCGTGCCACACAGCCAGTCCCACAGGAAGAGGATCTCTCCGAAGTGCGCGCGCGTCACCTCGTGATGGACGTTGTGGAATCGCGACGTGTTAAGCAGCACACGGGGCAACCATCTCTCCACGCACTCAATACTGTAGCCGCAGTGCAGGTACAAGTTCATGTAGGCAAGGAGGACCAGTGACAACAGGTGTACGGGACCCCACAGGTTGAGTGCCGGGATGGAGAAGAGCATCACCTGCCAGAACGTCAGCAGCGCCTCGAACGGATGGATGGCGAACGACGCAAAGCAGCTCGGGTCGTGGTACGAGTGATGGTCCTGCAGCATGGGGACGTCGGTCGGACACCACAGGCCGAAAGGCGCGCATATATACACATACACACACACATGCACAGAATCAAACGCATAGGCATATTGTCAGAGTCCATGCAACTACTATTACTATCCTCCAGAAGCATACAAGTACAAGTTAGCAATATGGATTGGTTTCCCTATTCTACTGAAGGCTGACTGTAACGTGTTTTTCCCCGGACGAATTGGGCAGATCATCCTGGACGAAAACTGGTGCAACCATGGTCGTGTGTGACACCGATGACGTTCTATTGAAAGTTTCCTGTACGTTCTATTGAAAGTAGGTTGTATGTTCTATTGAAAATCTCCCGTATGTTCTATTGAAAGTTTCCTGTACGTTCTATTGAAAGTTTCCTGTATGTTCAATTGAAAGTTTCCTGGACGTTCTATTGAAAGTTTCCTGTATGTTCAATTGAAAGTTTCCTGGACGTTCTATTGAAAGTTTCCTGTATGTTCAATTGAAAGTTTCCTGGACGTTCTATTGAAAGTTTCCTGGACGTTCTATTGAAAGTTTCCTGGACGTTCTATTGAAAGTTTCCTGGACGTTCTATTGAAAGTTTCCTGGACGTTCTATTGAAAGTTTCCTGGACGTTCTATTGGAAGTAGACTGTACATGTACGTTCTATTGAAAGTAGACTGTACGTGCGATCAAGAGTACATAACCCCCCAGAGTGTGCAACGCCGATCCAGCTCTCTATATAGGGTCTTGGTCGAGCGGAATCGGATCTTCTGATGTCATGCGTACACTCCGCACCAGCGCAAGGCCGGTCTCGAGGCAGGGCACCGTTGTTTTTGATCCAAGACTACCCGCGACTCCCCGGGTTCCCCTCAGATGTGTACGGTATTATGACGCAAAGATCCGATTCCGCTCGACCAAGACCCTATGCAGAGCTGGATCAGGCGTTGCACACTCTGGGGGGTTATGTACTCTTGGTGCGATGTACTAACCTTGTGAAAGATGTAGAGCATTCTCCAGTGCAGTGCACGGTGCTTCCAGTAGTTCCAGCAGTCGGCCAGCACCACACCGCCTATCAACTTCACCAGCAGGTAGAACCAGAGCGAGTCGCCGGTGTCCGCTAGCGACCAGTTCAGCGCCGTCGGCAGGCCAGCGCGGTAGCGCGTGACGGGCCAGGCGGCGAAGCAGGCCACCATGTAGATGGTGCCTATGGTGTCGCGTCCCTCCTGCCAGAACAGCGGTGGTGCCGACTTCTCGCACTGGATCTTACGGCCGTAGCGCTGGCACAGCGCCTGTACAAACATAGCTGAGGATAGCACGGTGGCGGCGATCAGCAGGAACGAACGTATCAGGCTGTCGTAGAACAGTGCAGGGTGATCGCTGGCCAGTCCGGCGAGGGTGAAGCCCAGCGGTAGTAGCCACGCCACGACATCGCTCTGCGCCTTAGTCACCGGGTAGACGGCGAGCGGGCCTAGCATGAACACTGGTCGCACTGTCACTTGTGCTGAGCCCAAAGTGCTCGTCTTTTCGCCACTGCTTGTCGTACCAACACACTCCCTACCGCTATCGCCAACATTGCTATTGTTGTTGAAGTACTCTGTAGCCATGCCGATGACACACCACAGGGTCAGTGAGAGCAGCACGAGTGGATGTGCCAACTCAGCGCCACCGGCGGTGTTGTCTGACATTCCCAGGACGTCGGCCAGTTGTGACGTGACCTCGGCGTGGGACTCCAGCACGGCAATCACCCGCGTCACCAACCATTGACTCAGCGCATTTGCCATGAACAATACCTCTGCACCGGAGCTTCCGCTCACCCCGCGTACCAACCCCACCAGCAGCAGGGTGCCGCCGACGATCACCACGGCAACCGGTATCACGGCAGTTGCCGCTTCTGCGAGCGAACGGCGTTGCCGTTGCCGTGGTTGTGCTGCGGCGCTGATATGGCACATGGACAGACGTGCAAGCCAGCACAGCAGCAGGCCAAACGCGAGCGCCGCCGTGTGAGATAGAGATGCCAGCAGGGCGAAATCGTGCGTGAAGTCCTCGCCCTCCGGCAGAACAGGCAACGACAACAACATTGCCTTCGCCTGCTCTTGGCCTTGGGTACCGGTCTCGGTCTCTAGCGGCACCGGGCTGGTCTTGATGACCGGCTTGACCATGCGATCGTACAGCGGCATGACTGCACAGTGAAACACGACCATGGCGACGAGGAATGCCTTGGCCAACCACGGCGTCCAGCGGATGAACACCGGTGGTACTATCCCCTCCACGCCACCACCGCCACCATTGCCATTGCCACTAGCACCCTGGCTGTCAGCGGTCACGTGGCTGCCCTGTGGCGGCGAAGACGGCGGGAACAGCTGCTTGATGGCAAAGCCGGCGGCAAAGAACGTGATGTAGCTGGTGGTGGACATCACAGCAAACGGCGTGCTGCCGTCGCGCTCGTAGAAAAACTGCGCCGCCAGTCGGTAGGTGATGCCCACGCGCTCCTCGAACGACCAGCGAAAGAACGAGTGCAGTGCTACGAAGCCGGCCGCCACGCAGGCGAAGAACGCCGTCCAGCACGTCGCCGATCGCCGTAGGAACCGCACTGCCAGGGAGCGCCGCGGATTGGTCGCCGTGGGGGCGCCGAGACCATTGGCCACGTTCACACCCAGCGCCGACAGGGCAAAGCCCAGCAGAAACACGCACGTGTGCGTCACGGCCGCAATCGTGGCGAACTCTTTCAGGTTCTCCAGCTGCCCGCCGCCGCCGCCACCACCGGGTGCGGACGATGACGCGGACGCCGCGGCGCGTAGCCGGAGGCGGCTCAGCAACTCGTCCGAGTCCTCCCCGCTGCTCACCTGTCTCCACACACCGGGCACTCCGCTGTAGAACCAGGCGTACACGACCCAGAACAGACCGGCCACCTGCAGCGCTAGAGTGGCGTATGAGGCCATGGCGACGACCATGGACGACTCTTGCACTCTTGCCTCTTGGGGTTACTGACCTCCTGCTGGTTGACCTTGAGCCACAAAAGGTTCAGTTTGGTGCTGGAAGATCTACACTCAGCGCTCAGTATATGCGCTAGCTAGCTAGCTGCCAGTACGTTGTCCCGCGTACACCATGTACACGCGGCACGCGGGTTACAAACGAGTGGAGTAAACAGTTTCAAGAGAATGGTGCCACACCGTCATGAAGAAGCCCCGCACTGGCCACAGATACCCTACTAAGTACTAGTCCGTAGCCTAGATCTGCCGAACCATGGCGAAATGGCGTGATTCACTGACAGTTTTGCTTGGATAGAGTAACGGCAGTCGGCAGGTAGGTCGCTGTTACAATCACACACGAAAAAAATCAAGCGCAAAAAGCCCAAAGCGTGCTATGCGCAAAAAGCCCAAAGCGTGCCTGCCTGATCGACTATCAGTGTCACCAGATCACTATGATTGTGTCTTGGTGTGGATTTACCAGTTTACTGCGGTACGTAGATTCTACGAGTGCCTGGTGCCATGCCACTGATGCCAGACTAGCCATGACCATGATGTCAGGCACGGCAAGGCTGCTGGAGCTCGCAGATCTACAGCAGATAGAGTATACAGCCTAGATCTATAGACTACACCATAGACATAATAGCTAGTCCACGCGGATCGGGCATGCATGGTGTGCTGATTTTTGTATATAGAGGTGATCTATATACATGTATAGGGGTCACTCGCGCCTTGGCTATCCGGTAGGCTTGCGAAGGCAAAGGTCGAAATAAAAGCCAGGGACTCACTTGAGTCTTGAGTCGCTGTACTATCCCTACTGGACCCTAGCCTAGGCCCTGTCGAAAACCATGAAACCAAGCGCTAGCGCTCTCGACTCTCCAGCACACACAGACTCAGTAGACGCTCTAGACACTCGTAGAGTCGTACTCATAATCATTGTCATTCGTGCCATCTGCACCGCGAGTTGCGCGGGATAACAGCGCATTCACCATACATGATACAACGCTTTGTAAAGTGGTTCGCACCTGCTACAGTGCTAGCGGACACATCATGATTGTCATGTCAGAAACTGTCTTGAATGGTTTTTGGACAATGTAGTTTTTACCCGCATTTTCTCGAGAGGAGACGTGTAGATCTACCAGTTGTAGGCTAGCAGTATCGAAGGGAAGGGGAAGATCCGTGGGCCATGATCCAGCTTTCTTAGCTGCAGATCTGCCAATGAACCACGTTTGGAATTATGCCATGGTGAAAGAAGTACGAGTAGTTCTGTGAATTATTAATTTTATTATTTTTATTACATTGTACATAATTGTAGTAGTTGATGTGCGTGCGGTAGTGTAGTCATTTGTAAGACTTGGACACTCTTTGCTATAGACACACTGCGATCGGCGCTGCAGAATGGCGGTTCGCAGAAAGCAAAGCCGCTCGCAACGGGTCGTGGCCACCCCTCACCCCCAGCAGAAGCAGCACAGGGGCGCTAAACCCGCATCGATGCGAGCCGCCGGCATTAGCGCAGATCCGGAAGAAAGGATTCTTTCATCCTCACCCGATCTAACAACACCAGTGCCAGCAACCAGGACACGAGTGGTACGAAGCTCCCGTACCAGCCAACCCGGAGAGCCAGATCGGGACGAATCGTTGGAACCGAGCGCCAAACGGCGAAAGCCCTCCAGATCACCTGGTCGTGCAGCGGGTGCACTTGGCGGAGGCAGCGAGGACTACGCAGCGGCGCTGGCTGACACCGGGTTCCAGTGCCCAACGCTCGCTACGAACCAACCTGCCGTAACAATCCACAATAACCGGCCTAACGCGCCAACC